GGGGGATATCTGCACTAAGCATGTGAAGACTTTCCCCTGTCAGAACAGATAGATGAGAACAATCTGTTCTAATGGCCACAAAGGCAGCTGAAGCAGGCACTGTGGAGTGCTTGGAGCTTGGTCAGACATCAAAGACAACAAGGTCATCCTCAGCATCTTGAGCCATTGCCAATAGTCTTTACTTTTGTCTCGCCACTGGACTTTGATGACTCAGGAAGAGAGAATGAGGCTGATGACTTTGTGCAGCTCTGCCTCATTTCAGTTCATGCACAAGTCAAGACATCCCTGTGATGTCATTGGTCCTCTGCAAAAATGAAGGATGAACAACAATGGAGCTGCCATTTTCAAAATACCAATGATATCCTTGGAACCCCTGGGCTTTGCCATCCTCCCTGCATCTGAAACCTTACGACTTCTGGGTTTTTCCATTGGTTCTGCAGCTGAACTCCCTTTTCTGTGTTGTATCCCCCATTAGAATGTGAGCTCCCTGAGAGTATGGGCTGTCTGTTTTTTTCTCTTTGTTTTCCCACAACTTGGCACAATGCTTGGCCCAAAATAAGTGCTTAATAAAAACTTTTATTCATTCTTCCCCATCCTCCATATACCTCTTGGTTCTCTGAGTGCAGCCCCTTGAAGCTCGGTTTGGAATGTTAAAAAGTTTCAGAACCTCTCATTCAGCATCTCCATATGAAGAAAACCTGGGCTGCCTATCCATTAACCAGTTTTTTTTCTCATTTACTACTACTGAGCAACCTTTCACCTGGCATACTGAAGACTTATTCATCTACTCCCATACCACCCTAAAATGAAGGAACCCAGGAGAGAAAGAAGAATAATGTCATGTAGAAACTCTCTCTGGCTCCCTTTACACCTGGATAGTGACTGTGGTTCAGAGCTGATAGGCAGCAGGGAAAGACCCTGATGCACCAGAGGAATCCTAAGAGATGCTCTAGATGAGAGAAATTGCTGGGCTGCTAGGAACTTAAAACCATTACTCACCTTGTCAGTGTGGGGCTGAGTAGCCAGAATGAAGGAAGATTTTTTTTTCTAGGAGTAAAATTTCACCCTTCTGAAGACTCATCTTTGAAGGAAAACATTAGCAAATTGAACTAGAGTTTACCTGGTGACCACCAGAGTTCATAAGGTCAAAGGATCATGGATTTAGAACTAGATGACACCTTAGAGGTCATGCAGTCTAGTCCTCCTTTTTATAGATAAAGAAATTGAACTTCTTAGATGTGAAGTGACTTATTCAATGTCACAGCTAGTGGAGAGGGGGAGGAGGGAATAAGCATTTAGTAAGCACCTACTTGTTCCAGGCACTGTGTTAATTGATGTGCAGATATTATCTCAATTGTTCCTCATAATGATGATGGTTCTGGAAGGGCACCGTTTGGGTTCCTGATCAGTCAGGGAGCTGCAGAGAGCAATAGGGTCCTGATGATCTCCAAAAGGAGAGTTTCAGAATCATAGAGTCTGGGTACTAAAAAGGATCTCAGACACCATCTAATCCAACTCCTACCCAAATCACCATTACAACATACCTAGCGATTATCTAGTCTTTGTTTGAAAACCTCCAGGTAGGTAGTACCCACTGACACCAAAGGCAATCTGTTCCACTTTTGTCTGGCTCCAATAGTTAAGTGTTTCTTTATCACAAGCCTAAATTTGGCTTCTTCACAGCTTCCACGAATGCCACCTGATTCTGCCCACTGGAGCTAAGCAAAACACATCTAATCTCCCTTCCACATGACAGCCTTTCAAACACTCAAGCACAACTATTATGTGCCTCTTCTCCTAGGCCTAGTCCATCCAGTTGAGTGGAGGGATGCTGAAGAAAACTAAGTCCACTTCAAAATTTTTGTTAGGGCAATCACTCTTAGTGTGTTTCAAAACAACTAAAATTACCTCATAGCCAAGATATGATTTAGAGAAATTCAGGAATCAGGTTGTTATTCCTGAAAATTGCTTTGGGATACCTAATGTCTATGTCTTCTAGTTCAGTCTTAGCACAGGGCTTGCACATAGTAAAAGCTTTTTCATTCAGTGAATCACACTCATTGGATCAGATTGACTTAGACTAATGGCAAAGACTGTTGTGTTTTTTGTTTATTTATCTCCAAGGCGTAGCAGGCATTACACATAGTATGCATTTCATAAATATTTGTTTAATTGAATGGTAAAAGGTCAAGGGAGAGAGAGGAACAGAGATATAAGAGATGCCAGTTTTCTTGAGAGAAACTGTTTTCCTATCCTAGCCTTGATGTGGAAGTGGAGAGTGGGTTTGTCTGCAAGAAAGCCCTAAGATGCCCTCCCATCCTTCATCTTGTCTCTTTGACACTCTTCTGCCTTTCCTTCCTTCAGTAAGTGTAAGAGGGCTGGGCTGGAGTTAAGAGTATGAGTTATTCCGTGCTCGCACACTGGATGATTTGCCTCAGCATGAGGCCATTTATGCCAAGGCAAGAGATAAACATGAGTTACAGACAAGTTTTCCCATACCAGCTGTGTAGAGAGGAGGCCCAATCAAATAATTGCTTCACAATTAAAGTGATTTTCAACATGTAACATGAGGATGTGTGGTTGGGCATTGGCCAGGATTGTTCATTTGGAAAGCTCATTAAGAAATGAATTATGAAATAGTGAGCAAATTCAGACCATGTGGGAATACGCTTTTCCTATCTCTGAAAGAAATTTTCTAAGACAAGCAAAACAAATAAAAGAATTTAGAATAGTGATCTGGCCATTGTTTCTCAAATATCACTGATCAAACTTCTAAGGCAGGTGGGGGGAGGGAATGTCCAACACATAACTTGTTTTCATTGCTACTGACCATTACTGATATTCATATTGGAAAATATCTGATTAGTTCATAGACCTAGGAAGTATATAATCATATGCATATAATCAAAATCTAGAACTGGAAGGGGCTATCTAATGCAACATCCTCATTTTACAGATAGAGAAACTGAGGCTTAGGGAAGTAGAATAGCTTTTCTAAGGTTACATAGGCAATAGACATCATAGGTAGGATTTCATGGCTTATTAATCCAGAGCTGAAAGGGACCTCAAAGAACATCCAGTGGCTAGATTCTAGCCTAAATCCTTTATTTTACAGATAAGGAAAGTGAGTCCCAATTGAAGTTGTGACATGCCCTAGTTTACATGAGCAATAAGCATCACAGGCAGGATTTGAACCCAAATCCTCTGATTCCAGAGTCAGTATTAATTCCATTGTACCATACTTCCATTGTACCATACAAAAGCCTCTGAAGTATAGCTCCACTTTCCAAATGAGAAAACTGAGTCATAAGCAGCATGCTTGGTTTGTCCTAGTTCATACTCTCACATTCTGATTTTGGTATGCCATAGACATCTCCAATTCAACACATTCAAAGAAGAACTCGTTATCTTTCCTCCCAAACCCATACCTCTTCCAAACTTCTCTATTTCTGTTGAAGGCACCTCTCTAGTCACCCAGGATCACAACATTGGGATCATTCTCAACTCCTCCACCTTATTCACCCCACATATCCAGTTACTTGTTCCTATCTCTACAATATCTCTAAAACATGCTTTCTTCTCTCCATTAGCACAACTACCACCCCAGTTCAGACATTCATTTCCTCCCACCTAGACTAGTGTGACAACCTCATGATTGGACTCCCCAAATCAAGTCTCTCTCCATCTTCCACACAACTGCCAAAGTGATTTTTGTAAAGTGACCATGTCACCACCACCCCAATAAACTCAAGTGATTCGAATTTGTTGGGGATGGGAGGGCAGGGTCACATATAGGTTCAAATGTAATTTCCCCTGGTGGTCATATAAAGCTTTTCACAACCTAGCCCTTTTCCAGTCTACTTAAACATTCCTTCCTTCCATGTTCTCCATTTTCTGACCTGCTGTTCCTCATTCACAAAATTCTATCTCCCATCTCTGAGCCTTTGCATTGGCTATCCAAAATAACTGAAATATACTCTTTCTTTGCCTTGTCCCTTGGAATCCCTGGTTCCTTTCAATACTCAGGTCAAGCATTACTTTCTATATGAAATCTTTATTAGTCCTCATAACTACCAATGCCTTGTCCTTCAAAGTCAACTTGTATTTTATTTGGGT